TATATATATATATATATATATGCAAGCATGTTTTGACCATTTTGGGCAAAAGAAAGCTAAATTGAATAAGCATTCGCGTTCACAAACACACAACCACATGCACAAACATGTGCATATATATATATATATATATATATATATATATATATATCAGTTAGGATCAAATACGAATTGAAACCTGACGGAATGATAAGATAATGAACAACTAGGAAACGTTTATCAATCTATTGGTAACCGTTTTGTATATGTCCTTTATCTTATCATATATATGTATATATATGTGTGTGTGTGTGTGTCTGTGTCTCTGTGTGTGTGTGTGTGTGGGTCTGTGTCTGTGTGTGTGTGTGTGTGTGTCTAAGTCTGTATGCGTTAATGTTGATAGTTTATATTGAAATAGGCACTTGAACATAGATAGATAAATAGATAGATAGATAGATAGAATATTATATATGTGTGTGTGCATGTATGTGCATTGACAGAGTGACGTGATAGGAGAGAGGGGGGATGAATATTATAGGTATAGCAAATATTGCATAATACTGACCTACCAATAAGTTGGTATCTTCATGTTAAAAAAAAACACATTTATTTCACGCAACAAATATTCGTTTTTCTGCAAAAATGTAACAACATTCAACTCATAACTGTATTGGCGTATCATCCCTTAGTTGCGTCTCTGTCTTAGGGCAGAGTGCGCTCAGGGGGTCCTCTGTCAATCGACAGAGGGGCAACTGAGAAAATAATACTGAGAGGTGCCCAGCCCTGGGGAACAACTGCCCGAGGCGGCGCCCTCCCGTTACACCAGAAGGAGGGATCGGTGCTCGCACCAAGGCCATCACAACCGACGGTTGCGTGGTCTGGGTGGAATTTTTGTCCCTTGTCCGAGTGTACGCGCTCGGGTCCCCACTTTAAAAAGACCTTGTGTCACAACTCGTCCTGGTGGGGGAACGAGTAAACACCGTAATGGTTAGCAAGCTTGTTTTGCTAGAACAATTACGATTGAGTAGTGAGTTCGATCCTCACTGGGTGGCCCGTACTTTCGGCCTTGTGCCACATCTAAGCTGCGCTTGAAATATCAGTATATATATATATATATATATATATAGAGAGAGAGAGAGAGAGAGAGAGAGAGAGAAACACTGTATCTAGATAAATATAGACAGAGCGGACATATGATTCAATCAAGTCTGACATTCATATTGAAAGGTGAAATTGGCAGTCACAATGCAGTATTGATCCCTTTGTCCATACGCTGTATGTCTATAAAACATGCTATCCTGCATACTGAATACTTTTGCCTTATAGATATATGAAATTTTAAATATTCAGAGAGAGAAAAAAGTTTTTTATATCTTTGTTTAAAATTTCCTCACTCTTTTTACACACACACACACACATATATATATATATATATATATATATATATATATTTATATATATATATATATATATATATATATATATATATATATATATATATATATATATATATATATATATATAGGGAGGTTGCACGCATGTTACTAACATATAAGATCCGCGCAAATGTACCGAAATCAAACGTGGAAAAAAAACTTTTTATTGACAACGCATTTCGCCTTCGTTAGATAGGCGTCGATTTTACTGCATTGGATCCCATTAGTTCATTTTTAGAACTAAACTGCCGGACTACCTACACAGACTATTTGTTTATAGTAGTAAAGGATTATGTAGAACCAGCCACACTTTTCAGAACTGCTAGCAGAAAAAATGGTACACAGTGCGCCACCAAGTTTTCAGATGACCCTCCTACAACTTTGATTCTGCTAGACTGATTGCCAACCAAAGAAAGAGTACCTTGCCTGCACCGCTATTTAACCCATAGTTAGATGAAGATAGATGTATGACGTTGTCATATATTAGTGCAAAATAAACGAAACAAAATCGACCTGAATTTGTACTCGCTTCGGTAGTACAGATACTAAAACTTGGAACGATACAGAGAAGATTAGTATGACCCCTGCACAAGGATGACACGCAAATTCGTGAAGCGTTCTATATTTTTCCTGGGTATGGCGATAAACTACATCCGCGTCCTGGGTAGGACGATAAACTGCATCCGTGTCCTGGGTATGGCGATAAACTACATCCGCGTCCTGGGAATGACGATAAACCACATCCAGCAGCAAGGCCTCTGATCTGGATGTATTGAGGAGCGTGGAACCACCTCAATTGCTGATGCTCCTAGGTCCACTCTGGCCCGGGGTGGTAGCACCTGTTAGAGTCCCAGCTATTTGTATATGGTATCAAAACATGAAAATGTAAAAATAGGTTTTAATACCAGCAATACTTTTTCTTTTTTTCATTTTTTGTTATTACTAACAATGAATTTTTGAAGGAAAAAATTATTTCCAACAATACATTTGAAGAAAAAAATTATTAATGCATTTGAAAAAAAAATATTGCCAGCAATTTTTGAAAAAAATATATTACCTAACCTTTTGAGGAAAAATATTGCATTTTTGCAAAAAATATTGCCAGCATTACATTTTTGACCAAACTATGATCTACAAAAAATACATATTCTACTACCTATACCATTGAGATTTTTGAAAACAAAATCCAAACTATGATCTACAAATTATTTTTTAAAGAAACATTTCCAGCAAAAAAATCTTGTCGGCATTAAATAACCCATTAAATAACCCATTCTACAAAGATTGATATGTCTGTCGGCATTAAAAACAAAATAAATCCAAACTATGATCTACAAACTGATTTCTTACAAAGAATACATATTCTATTCAAACGAGCCTACCCTAAAAATCTTGTCGGCATTAAATAACCCATTGAGATTGATATGTCGTAAAACAAAATAAATCCAAACTATGATCTACAAACTGATTTCTTACAAAGAATACATATTCTATTCATACGAGCCTACCCTAAAAATCTTGTCGGCATTAAATAACCCATTGAGATTGATAGATCCAAACTATGATCTACAAAAAAATAAATCAAACTATGACAAAACAAACTGATTTCTTACAAAGAATACATATTCTATTCAAACGAGCCTACCCTAAAAATCTTGTCGGCATTAAATAACCCATTGAGGTTGATATGTCGTAAAACAAAACAAACCAAACCAAATCGAACTGAATTTGAATTCAGCTTTGCGAGTTCATTTTCGATGCCGAGAACCGTTAAGCCCTTTTTTTTTAGGAAACAGTGCTTCATTTAAGCATTTGCTGTTAAATAGAATGGTTATGGGTTTGTCTGTTGTGTCTTTTTTGCTGTGTTTCTAATGTTCGCGTTAAATAATGCATTTCACGTCAGCTGGAAACTAGTCCAGAAAACCTCCTAAATAACAGGTTATGTTCCCAATACACTTGACACCAACATAAAACTCAACCAGAACGTTCAGTCTACCAATGCTTGACCATTCTCCGTTACGGAACATGCTTAAAGAAGTTGATAGAGCTCAAAACATAACACATCATTCTGGCGAGTTTCTTTACAAGTATCAAGCAGACATCAAACGACGGATTCGACACCAGGAGACACGCACCAAAAAGCTTGACAAACATTTCTAGTCCTTTCTATTTAATAAACGTATAGAAAGAGAATGGGAGGTGGAGAAAGGTGGAGAGAGAGAGAGAGGGGGACGGGGAGAAACATTGTGAAACAGGAGTCAACACAGCATAATGAATATCAGAGTCAGATTTTTACATCGCTTGATATAATCAGTCTGACCCTAATATTACGCACTTTCACCTCATACATACAATAAACATTTTAACACCAATATATATATATATATATATATATATATATATATATATATTAACTGATTTAAAAATATGGTTCCTTCGCTACACAGGAATTACCATGTTTCAAAAACTGAAGCTAAAAACTACAAATTTAATTATATAATTAAATTAAAAACATTAGTTCTGTTTCATCTTCTTATAATATTTATGCTCTGTAAATTTGCATTGAGCACTGTTTTGTAAAAATAAAAATATGAATAAGAACACCGGATTATATATCTTACTGTTCTTTCTTTTTACTATAATATATATATATATATATCGAAAATTGA